CTGGCTAAACCACCCCCAGCTTGAAGATTTCCTAACTCCCACTGTCTTGTCCACTGTAGAAGCTATCACCTAGATCTTAAATAAATGTGATTCTAACTATGCCACACTTACTAGTTTACTCCCTATAAAAACTTCTATACCCACCAGAACATCATACACTTGCAATCTTTAAAGATTTCTAAAATGACACATTAAGCAGTAGAAGAATTGTCATAGCAACAGGCCCAGACCCAGTATTGAGTCATAAAACCCCCCCAAGAGTACCCGGCATGATCCTCCGAAGTTTCATTCCTCTTCTAGCCCTGATAGCACTACTTAACAATTCAAATGCGTGAGATATCACTGACATTATATTAATGATTTATGATCTAAGTTGAATAATCATTTTCAAAAGCCAAGAACTTTGTTATCTTTTTTCCTTTTTCTCCTTTTCTGGTGGAAAGGAATACGAAGTATTTTTCACTGATTGGTGCCGTGCCAAGTATAAAAAGGGGAATGCCCAATAGCCCCCCATGCTTACAAAATGGTTCACCAATTGCACTTAATTAAAAGGAACTGATTATTTACAAAAAGAAGCTGCAATTAGAGGCAGGTATCTGGTAGTCTCCCAAACCTCATTGCACTGTCTTCGTTAACATATCAATGGTAAAACAAGATGATCATGTCACAAGTAAATCTGATATCTCAAAAAGATACTGCAAAAATAAATTACCATTCAAGAACGCACTGCAGATGAAACTCATGTTTGCAACTGGTCATCTGAACAAAATATAGCAACTGACTAAGTAGAACAGAAACCATCCGACTTGGGATTACATCAAATCACAATATATGTAATACCGTTGAAGGATCACTATCGCAGAAGTCTTCTAGACATATACTGCAAGCGTCACCACAAGCATCCTGGATTCCACCTTCGACAAAAGCCGCAGCTGATGTCAAATGCGCTTCAGATTTCTTAGCCTCGTCCATCGTTGGAGACTGTACACGAACACACAACGTAGCCCAATTCATCCACAGTACAAGCAAATATATGAAAAAAAAAAACACGATCTAATGTATCCAACGTAAACAAGGAGATGAGAAACAGTGCTTTCAAGTGTAATTTAGAGACACAACATACATTTTCAGTGACTTAAATCACACAGAGATACAGACAAAGCTCACACAAAATTTTCAGAACTAAGAGCAATACAGCGAAAAAGCAAATTCAAGAGAAAAATAAACATGAAAGAACGAAAAAAAAAAAAAAAGAAGTCGTCTCGTCACGTCTCCAGTTCAGTTCTTCCATGAAAATAAGATAAAAAGTAAAAAATTCTGCAAAGAGAATATATCCGCGTCCACTTTATGCGCAGAATAACAGCCAAGAGAAACGGAATCGCAAAAGAAGAAAGGAGATGCAGTATAATGTTCATGAAAGAGAATAACAAAAGCGAAGTACCTCCATGAAATTGGGATTGGATTGAGCGGAACCCTAGGGAGCGGAGGAGGAGGAGAATTGGGGTGTTCTTCGTCTCCGGTCTTGACTTTGGAAAAAGCTGCGTGTTCTTCGTCTACGCTGCAGCTTTAACGCGTGGCGTTGTTTTTTGTTTTTGGGAGCTTACTCGCGCCACTCGCTTTCCTACCAATACCCCCACGTCCTTGGCACAAGCCGTCGCGACATGGATATTTATTTTAATACAACAAATATATGGAGCTTCCATATTCAACTTCCCACCTCTAGGAAAAAAAAAATAAGACATCTTAACCTAAGAATTGAAAAGTTAGAAAAAAATATGAGATATATTAATTGAAGAATTGAGAGGTTAGAACTGTAACTATTATAATTATTACTAAGTCAAAGTAAACATAGTAATTGACATATATCTCCAATTAAGAGGATGTGAGTTCGATCCCTCAATCCCAAATATTGTACTATTCTAATTATTGTTTGTAAAATTGTAACTCGGAAGAGAATCCCTTAATGTAAGTTAAGGCTGCATTTTAAAAAATATATTGAATGTAGTATTGTATTAAAATTTTCATCGATAAAAAATGAGATTAAAAATAAAATAAAGATACCAAAAAAATCACAAATATTTTTAAAATACATGAACTAAAATATATATAAAAGTATAGAGATTAAAATAGATACTTTGAGAGTAGAACCATTAAAACGAAAAAAATCGGAAAGTATAGAAAAAAATGAAAATGAAAATTGCAAAAGTTACCTTTTAAGTTGATCAATCACTGACATAAAACTTGAAGTATTACAATTAATCTATCAAACATAGTATTGAATAATCTATTAAAGATACAAAACTTCAAATTATAGCATTGTTAAATTCAAGCCCAAATTTTTTACATTTTTTTGTTTTTTTTCAGAGCAAGCAAGTGTTGGGATGAGACACCTACGCAAAAACCTCAATTCTCGTTAGGAGGTCGAACCGAAGTCGGGGCTACCCTCCCACAGGCAAGGCGTACCTTTGTCTCAATGTTTTGAACTCAATCATTGCCTCAACTTGAGATATTTGTCGCTGTTTAACACTTCACACATTGCATTTGGATATACAAAAAAGATGTTAGAAGAGCCAAAAAGATTGACCTGTTGACCCTGGCACCTTCATTTGTACATAAAAAATTCATGGTTCTCCCATAGTTATAATAGCAATAAGCTACACAAAAAGTGCTGTCTCAATTTCCCCTTCTTCCATAAATTTAGCCTATAGCATTTCTGCAACCTTGAATTCATCCAATCAAAGTCACTGATCGCTAACAAAGTAGGATAAGAAACTTAGGGACTAAATTGACACCGGACAAAAAAATATTTTTTCCTAAAATTTTCTTCTATCCTATAACTTAAAAGAGCTATAAATATCAATAAGAAACATAATGATCTTATATTCAAGCCTAACTAACTGCACAACTTTTTTAGTAGCCACCTTTTTCTCAACCTCTCATCCAGTTTCATAAACATCATTGCCCTTTTCTTGTCGAGGGAGAGGAACTCACATGCGTCGAGGATGAGATCGTCGTCCAACCCGGGCATGGTTTGAACAATTTCGAACACTTGATCTGTGCAGGTTGGCCTTCTGCTATCTGCCAATGCATCAGCTATCCGGGCGACATTAGCAGCCATTGAACTCATTATTTGCACCATGATGTCACTATTGCGTCTTCACTTTAACGACTTTCTTGAATGCGAAGAGGACGACGGTCTAGTCCGTGTCTGTTTAGATGAAGCCTCCATGCTATCGGCACCGCTAGAACTATCACCACTCTCTGCTGCATCGTCCGATATCCCAACTCGGAGTACTGTATGGTCCTGGTCGTTCAAACCACGGTCTTTGTTGTGTTTTCCACCAATAGACCATCCTCCAGTTCTCTGTTCATTGCCAAAAATCATACACAGCTCATTGTAATTGTCGATCGATTTTGCTCGCAAGTCCTGGTCATCGGGGTGTTTCTGGAATGTGTGTTGAAAAGCAATGAGCAAATGTGCAATATTTCACATGTCCTTAGCCAAAATCAATAAACAGAAAAACAATAAAGAATGGTAAAAGTAAAAGTTATAATTTAACATCTACATTAATAAGAGGTTTTAGATGAGAAGAAATATAAAATCCAGCGTTCATCATCAATTAAGGAAATTGCATGATTAAATTGATAAGATGAACCCTGTTCATCAACTCTGAATCCTCCAACAAAAACCCTCCCTACTCCATGGTTAAGCAATCTAATTTTGGTATAGTACAAGAAATGTGACCATTTAGAGTACAAAGAACCAGACATAATCTCATTTGATTTACGTACTTAAATCAAAATGTGAAGAACAAATTTCTCAGTCTACATACTCAGAAAATGCAATTAACTTCCTTCCAACAAAACGTCAAACACAGAGTTGAAACTGGACATATCCAAAAGGCTCTCTTTTCACCAGTTGATTTCAAAGATATCTCAACTAACTAGAGAATACACATATAAAGGATTATATTCACGGTAACCCATCAATTTAAACTTTTAGATTCATTAGTAATTTAATATGATATCAGAGCAAAAGGTTCTCTAAACCTCTGGGTGTGTGGGAGGGTTAGGAATCTATAAAATATTAAATTTACCATATATTTTTTAGTAACCCAACAAACATAAAATGACCCTTTAACTTGTGAGAAAGTCACAATGGAGAAGAATGTATCTCACTGACACATGCTCTACAGCTATCAAAATAACATTATGTAATGGGATGAGCTGTAAAGTTTGGCCTACTTTAATGCCCTTTCTGGGCATCCCATCAGAATTATCTTGTAATTTTTCTTAAGTTTTGATTCTTCACAAAGCCTCAGTGATTGGGTTCGTCTCATTTGGACTCACTCATGTTTTTGTATTGCCATTATCTTGTTCTTTCATTTATCTTAACAAAGATGATTTTTCATCCAAAGAATAATATCAGACCATATTGAAAGATAAAACGATATATACATACCTTAATGTATGCAGTCCAATCAAAGTCATTGGCAACAACCATCTTGTGTCTCTCATCCCACTCAAACCCATCATGGGAGAGGAGTAACTTCACTCTTCCATACTGCTTTTCCCATGTGTTTAACCTGCTTCTAATGTTTTCTTTAGTCAAATCCAACGCAAATCTCTCATTTAAAACTGTAAGAGCAGCCGTGTAAGCTGCAGTCTTAAATGTTTCCTCAATCCTGTTTCCAAGAACCACTTGCTCAACTAGCAGCTTCGATAAGCAGGTATCCATCTCCTCAGTCCAAGTTATGAAATTTTCTTTTTCTGCTGCATTGTTACTTTGATTGTAGCATACAACTCCAGCATTTATAGCTTCATTATTAGCAGTTAAATCCAAATTAACATTAGCAGGATTGAGAGAACTTTCAGATGGATTGTCATACCCAATAATAATACACAATTCATCATAATTCTCAATGACCGTCCCTCTAAGAAGTCTAGCATCTGGGTTTCTCTGTTTCAATTGTACGTAGTACCATTTGAACACCGTCCGAGGAGAAAAGAAAAAGAAAAGAAAAATCATATACATCATTCTATGGACCAGTGAAAAACCAACTGAAATGTTATATACCTCAACAGACACATCCCATACTGAGTCCTTTGCAACCAACATCTTTCGCTGATCATCCCATTCAAAGTCACCTTGGTCTAAGAGGTTCCTCAGCACAAAGTACTCTCTTTTCCATGATTTAAAACGATCCTTAACTTGATCTTTTGTCAATTGAAGAGAAAACCTCTCTCTTATAGCCAATATAGCTGCATTATATGCAACAGTCTTGAATTCATTATCTACTATTTTTGTTCCCAAGAATCACTTGCTCCACGAGGACTCCACTGAGACAACAGTCCATTTCACTTGTCCACCTCAAGGGATTCCCTTCACAACCATTCTTTCCATCATACATAGCAACGTGGAAGTCAAAAATCTCCATATTGTAGTATCCAAAGAAGATGCAAAGTTGATCATAGTTTTCAAAAATTCTACCACGAAAGCTTCTGGCCTCAAGATTGACCTATGCACAGAGAAAATAATAACATATAGTTATTCCGGAGCTAAAGTTCAGATTGAATGCATCAGATACAGAGAAAAGGAAGTATCATTGAAATGATCAGTTGTACATTGAATAGTACCTATCCAGTGTAGTTTAGATCATATTAAAAAAATGAGATCAGAGCAGCAGAAATTTTACAAGCAGCATGATGGGTGATCAATGAACAATTCACCATTTAACTCGATTAAATTGATTGTCCCTCGTACAGGATGTTAATTTTTTTTTCTTTTTTTTAACAAGAAAAAAACTTTTCATTGATAGATGAAAAGATCGAAGAATATTCAAGAACTCCAAAAGATGGTGAAAAGAACAAACAACCAAACAGATAAAGTAAAGATCTCTAAAAATTACAAGAGCCAAAAATAAATAAAGTATCGAATTTCTCCAAGGAAAGATCTAGCAAGGCTGAGAAGAACCACTTGAAAACCAACTAACCAAAGCCACCAAAATCAAATCCTACAAGCTACAAAATCTGCAACATGCTTCAACCGAACTGAAAAGATCTTTGTAAAAGACCAAGAGTCAAAAAAGATGACCACCTACTAAAAACAAGAACTTTCTTAAAGGAGACCACCAAACCGGATAAAACCTCCATTGCTGCAAAAGGATTTAATATATTAATTCTTCCCCATTTTATCATGTAACTCATTTTCCAATTTCCAGTTACCTGCTCAATGACAGTTTTGAAGAAATTCCATAATGATATATAATGATTTTAGAGAACTTCAGGAATTTGCTCTAAACTCTAGTTATTGTGTCTCCTGAATGAAGAAGGATAGGACCAATGACAGTAAATATTTCATGGGTTTTTGGCAAAGAATCCAAAGACAATATTTTCCAATTGTTTTGTGGTAATAGATTCAAAAGTAAAGCTAAAATGGGTTCAAACCCCATGATGGCCACCTACCTTAGGAATTAGTAATTCCTATGTGTTTTCTGGCACCAAATGTTATAGGGTCAGGTGATTGCCTCGTGAGATTAGTCGAGGTGCGCGCAAGCTGGTCCAGACACTCATGGATATCAAAAAAAAAAAAAAGAGTAAAGCTAAAACATTGTTGATCAATACTATTAAAGCAATTTGGGGACTTCGGTACAAAATAAATCAAAGAATCTTTTAAGAGAAAAATACTTGAGGTGATTTTGGATTGAAAAGAACAATAGGTTTTTCAATAGCATAGAAAGCCATTTGATAACTTTTTGGGTCATGTAATTCTTGTAGCTCTTTCATAGTGTAAAGTTTACCTTCTTACAGCTACAATCTTTGTTACCTTTGTGCCAATTGGAAGAATTCTTGAAAATTCTTTGGCTTGTGGTTTAACTTTCCTTCCCTCATTTTGTAATTTCATATCATCTATAAAATGTATGGTTTCTCATCTGAAAAATAAAGAAGAGTAAAGAAAAACATACTACTTTTGGTTCTTAGGATGTAGACCAAGGCTACTTGGTTGAATATTACTCTTTAGGAGATTTAGATTGAAAGGAACCCAACATATTTCATTGAGAAGAACGAGAAATGGATTTTGACAAGACAATTTTTTCCTAGCTAGGTGGTGCTCTTTTACATAGAGATTTTTGTAACCATTATTTTTTCCCATTCAAGCCAATTAGAAAGTTACTTTTGTGATCACCTTGCTATGAGTGTGAGGTAGAATATCTTTTCTTCTCTCCTATTATACATCTCTTTAGTTATGAAATATTTCTAACCTCAAAACAAAAGGGAAAAAAAAAAAGAAACAAGAATAGAAGTTTGACGCTATTAATTCAAAGAACATGATCGAATGCATGACAAAACAATATCACTCACACTATTAAGCAAATGCTGAAATTTTCCACTTACCTTGATATAATCATCCCATACTGAGTTATTTGCAACGATAATCTTTCTTGTCTCATCCCAACTGAACCCATCATGAGAAAGAAGTTCCTTCAGAATACGATATTGTTTCTTCAAAGTTCTAAGCCTATTTCTAATGTACTCTTTTGTCAAGTCGGGCCCATATTTCTCACTTAAAGCTGAAACAGCTAATCAACTACCCCACGTTGTAAAGTTTTATCAAGTTTACAACTCGTCGTCACATATTCCACGAGAGTCTTCCCAAGGTAACGATCCATATGACTAGTCTATCTTAATTTCTTTCCTGCTTATCACTGCTCTGAACGTCTAATACAATCAAAGAGTCTCGCTTACTTTTTGTCAAGATTTCTTTAACTTCAGCACCATCATCTGAAAACGTCGGTATTGCTTGATCAGCCATGATAATACACCATTCATCATAATGTTCAATAAACTTTTCCCGGAATTGTCTGGCATTAAGGTGTGCCTATAAATCACACGAAATTAAGAAAATGCAAGACATGATGAAAGCTGAAGCAAACTAATAATTAACGTATCAAAGGGGATGATATTTTACCTTAGTGTGGGAATTATCAGCAGTTACCATCTTTCTTGCCTCATCCCATTCAAATCCCTTATGAGCAAGAAGCTCCTTCAAAATTTGAAACTGCTTTTTCCAAGTTTTTAATCGACTTAGTTAAACCACCACCAAAGTTTTCATTCAAGACTTTAAGAGCTGCTGAATATGCAGCAGGCTTCCAAGTGCCGTCAACCCTGTTTCCTTCTTTTACTTGCTCAGTAAGAATCTTGGCAAGAAAACGGTCCATTTTACATGTCCAAGCCAGGTAATTTGGTCTCTCTTTCATGTTGCAACTGCCAGGCAGATACACCTTCTGATACATTGCTGAAAATTCAAAGAGAACAAATTCATGTGCTGATTCGAATCTAATAGAACAGTTTTTTGTTTGATAGAACGCAAGGAATAGGCAATACAACTAATCATCAATCAATGTAAGACTTTACCCATTTAAAAACCCACTCACTCTTAGCTCCAAATAATTAGGAACAGAAGGAAATAAGCATTTAAAATTCCATGAAATTGCAGATCTCAACACCTTTACTTCCATTTGAGGAATGAAAACCAGTCATATAACCCAGTTCTAAAGGACCACGTTCCTATCTTCTCTAATTTGAGGTATGTTCTCTCTCCAATTTATTTTTGTTATAAGAAAACAGTTCTTTTTTTTATTTCTTATCATGAAAAACAAAGGGGAAGAAAAAACAGCTCTAGTTTGGGGTAGATTCTAAACGTAATCCCACAATAAGGTGGCATAAAAGACAATGGCAAATCGATACTGATAAATACAACGATAAATTACCCATTCCTTTTCTGCTAGAAATCATTTATCTAAGACTTAAATCCGTACCAAGGAATCACGCATCTTCATCCACCTCCAGCTTGCTCACTCAGCCTCACCCAGAAGATAACGCTAATGCATAACCACAGTACTCGAACGGCAATAACTATCAGTGAGTCGGTGCAGAAAGTACTTGGCTTTGGAAAGGTCAGCACTAACAGAGTATTGTTATTACTTCGAAACTATGGTCTTGGCAAGTTTATGTTCTCTTATTATTATTTGATTTTATTTTTCTAGACCATATCCATACTCAATCTTTATGTTGGTATTTGCTTTTATCGTTAAAATACAACAAAAAATCTTTATGGATACGATCCAGTTACATACTACAACCGACGAATCGTGTATACTTGCACGTGTTGTCAACACAGTTGTGTGGACGCAACACTTTATCTATTCATTTTGAAATGAAGAGTTTTGGTGAAGCTAGGTGTTTCCTTGTTTGGAGATTGAAAGGTCAAGTGAGATATTTCATCTCACATAAAGGATATGCAGCAAGTTTATTGAATAATTTTAGTACGAAAGAGTCAAAGCCAATGACTACTCCTATGGAGCCATCCTTGAAGTTGATTAAGGCAGAAGGAAAACTATTGGCAGATGCAACAACTTTTCGACAACTTGTTGGTAGTTTAATTTATTTGACTATCACAAGACCTGACTTCTCTTACTCTGCAAGTGTCGTTGCTCAGTTTATGGAAAAACCATGTGAAGCTCATTTAATTGCAGTAAAGAGGATTCTTTGATATGTGAAGAGCACTTTGAGTTTTGGCTTGTTGTATAAACAAGCTACATATTTTGTGTCGAGTGGTTTTGTTGATGCTGATTGGGCCGGTAATGTCAATGACAGATATTCCACAATCGGGGTACTGTTTTAATACAGGTTCAGGGGCCATATCATGGTGTGGTAAAAATCAAACCTCTGTTGCTCTTTCAAGCTGTGAAGCAGAATATGTAGCCGCTATTATGGCTACTCAAGAGTGTATTTGGCTAAAAAGACTTACGAGAGAAATATTCTCTATTTTGGACTATCCAGTGTCCATTTTTTGTGACAATGAAAGTGCAATCAAGCTTGCAGAGAATCCCGTGTTTTATGCTTGTACAAAGCATATTGAAATACATTTTCACTTTGTTCGAGAGAAAGTTCTGACACAAGATATTCAATTGCAAAACATAAATTTGAAGGAGCAAGTTGCAGACATATTTACTAAGGCGCTTGACAAACCCAAGTTTGAAGAACTCAGAAGTTCACTTAGTGTTGTTGACCGTACATTTGCACTAAGGGGGAGTATTAAAAACTAGTGCAAATTTATTTAATTATCATGTTAGTACTTGATAGATTTTAGGAGTTAGTGAGTAGTGGGTAGTTACTTTCACACTTATTAGAAGTAGTGGTTAGTGGATGTAAATTTGAGGAGAAAGTTTGGGCATAATGGTTTAGTGGCATGATGGTGTTGATCGGAGAGAAACTCAAGGGTAGTGGCTTAGTGGTCAGTTTTATTAGTTCACTATAAATATGTGTAACTAGTTCTCATTTATAAATCAAATCCTTCCATCAAATCCTTCCATCGTAATAAAAAAAAACAAAACAAAACAAAAAAAGTTCTTCATTCGTAAACATTTATCTTGCTTCCTATGTATTGTTCATCTTCGTTTTTTCGTTACATTGATAACTCCATCCAACACTCACACAAGAGATCTGCAAACGGGTTTGGTGCTAAGTCCAGCATATTCTAATGCTTAAGTTAGCATAATATTTACTTGATAGTAAAAGTGTAGGGTTGTAAGAGCGTACTCGCACCCTAGGTCTCTCCTTCTATTTAAATAGGAAGTCTTTTAGGGGTTGGTTCGTGTTGACTGGCTCGACCAAATTTAGGTCAACTCAAGTCTAGTTTAGTTTGATGGTTTGACCTGGGTGGCTTGACCCATGTCGTTTGTCTAACTTCAATTTAAGCACTTCAATTTACGCGAGTTTTGTAAGATAATTTTACTCATAATAATGCTCGAGTTTAGCAATATTGATAATTGATTTTATTTTTCTGTATTTGTTAAAATATTTTTAATGACATTTAATCAACTTTATTAAAGAGTCTAGTTAATTATAATATCGAACGGTCAAAGTTAATATAAATTATATAAAGAATTTAAGAATATGAATCTTAGAATTCTATGTCATTTATAGATCATGTGTGAGCAAATCAAGCCAAACTCCTAAATCTTGGAGAAGCATTGACATTTAGGTTACATCGTATTCTTTTTCTCTTTCATTTTGTGAGCCTATTTTTGGAGAAAAATCTACCTCACATTTCTGTACTTGTTTTCTATGACATCTTATATTAATTTACTTAATTACCTAGAATATCCATCTCTTGGTATGGGCTAATTTTATAAATCATATAATTTAAAAAATAAATTACACATTTAAGGTAGATTAGAAACCAAAATTAAAAAAAAATGTGAAATAAAATAATATAAATCATAAATAGGGTACATTCCAAAACTATTGACAAAAATAGGGTGGTTATGGTCAAAATCAAATGTACACGAGTTACACGTGTCCGCTTGAATCTAATGTGGCGGGTGGCTGGCCAGTTGGACTAATAAATCGTGTACGTTGTACGCGATTTGAGGGAACTCGTATACATTGTACACGATTTGAGGTAAATCATCGTGTACATTGTACACAAGTTTCCACAATATATATATATATATATATATATATATATATATATATATATATATATATATATATATATCCTTCTAAATTAAATACCAAGTGCGATTTGTCTTGATTTTTTTTCTTTTTTGTGCAAAAAATTAAGAAAAAAAATTCAGTCTTTTGTTGCTGGATGAATTGTGAACTAAATTCATGTACCACAAGTTGATTAATAAAAGTTCTGTCTACTAAATTCATGTACCACATTATAATAAAAATTAACTTCAATGATAAACTAAGTTCAAATCCATTAATAAAAGTTCAGTGCACAAGTTGATTTAAATGTAAATAAACTGAAATATTATAAAATATCGATAAAAACTCATATATCACATGATGGCCATCTTCTCAAGCGAGCTCCACGACAAGGTTGAGGCGTAGCAATATGCGATGATGGATGATGAATTATATCATCCATATCTTGTTGTATTACCTCAATAGGTGATAGCTGTGGTAATGAATTCGGTGAATGAATTGAACTTGATGTGATGACTGAATGAACTACAAGTTTAGGAATCGTACTAAAATATAACTAAAACAAAAAAAGGGAGGAATAAGATCACCTTCGACGACTGCTGGTGGAGGCTGATAACTCTCTAAAAGAGTGCAAGAATTTCATATAAATTAGCTAAGGATAGCCTTACCAACACCCAATCTACATTGATTTTGTGCAAAGAATATTATAAATTCACCATCCTCCTTATTTTTGAAAATAATGCTGAGAGTTATGAAGAATGACCTAACTTTTAATGTTTTGATGCAGCATTGTTGATGCTGTAGTATCGGAATGAAAAATACAGAAAAGACAGAGTTGATAGCGACATATTTTTACCTGAGAATTTACTGAGTAAAACGCAGATTCACCTGATATTCTGAGCTGGGGCCTACTTTATCCGTTGTCCTAAAATCAAGGATTGGTATAAAAGCAACATTTCAAGGTTGCCTCCATTCATTCTTCATCAAACCCTAGAGAGAACAATACAAGAGAAAAGGGAAGACACTTGGAGAGGAACCAAAGAAGACAACTTCTTCTTTTGTACTCTTTAGTGCACAAGTTTTGTATTTTCTCCTTCCATTTTCATGTATGACATTGCGTGGCTAAGTTTATTGTAAGGGGGAGGATGTTATGAACTTGTTCTTGGGCTGTAAACTTTGCTTTGGCTTTAATGATATATATACTGAGTTGAAGTTATTTTTAACATTTGATTTTCAATGTGCTTGGCCAACATATTGGAATGTCTCTTTATTAGCTTTTGGAAAATTGTAATAAGGAGTGTTTGACTTCAACTCGTGCTAGATCTACATGAGTTTAGAGCGTGGGTACTTAGGAATAAATCTCACCTAGTAAGGCTATAAACTGTGCTGATATGCTGTCATGTTTGCCCTAAAACGTAATAGCATAAAATCTGGGAAGATTCCATGTCTGTTTGGCCAGTATATTACATTAATGCAGTAGCATTGTTTACGCGAGTCCAGAAAAAGTCACATAAATTCTTCCCCTTACCCTTTAAAAACCAGTAGTCGATCTCTTATCTGCGCATTCTCCTATAATCGATTTAGTTTTATTTGGTTTTGTTTTGTTTTTACTCAGCAAATTAATGGTGCACTATTTTGTTTGATGTCCTTTAGTTTTTCATGTTCAAAATATTTTTGTTAATTTATTTGTTTTCTTAAGTAAAATATTGAATTGTTTAGTTAATCCCTGTGGATACGATCTTTTTAACAGTTGTGTATACTTGCACACAAGAGTTCTAAACCGTACAATAGAGGCAGCGACGACGACGAATGGCAGTGCAACGGTGGCTGAGTTGAGAGAGGAGAGGAAGAGAGAGAGGATAAGGGTTTTTGGTTTAAAAATGAGAGGTGAGGGAGGGGTGGGGTGGAGATGGAACTCGTGTACATCGAGTGTATCGTACACGAGTTTGGGATTGCACACGATTTCCTACAACACACATGTGCACTGTTGGAGCCACATCAGATGAAACTCGCGTTCGATGGACGTGAGTTTCATGAATTTTCTAAATCGTGTACATTGTACATGATTTAGCTACTCTGCATTTGAAAATAGTTTTAAACTTGCTTTATTTTGTTTTTTTGTTTTTTGTTTTTTTTACATTATTAAAAAAAAGTCCCTTGGTATAGCATGTGACTTCAAATTTTTGTGTGGACATCAATACTCTTTTTCAATTTAACAAGAGGCGGCAAATTTTCGACTTCTAAAGAGATAAGTACAATATCTTTTACTAATTAAACTATGTCCATGCCAAAATGCACATAAACACTTAGTTTTAACAATAGATATTGTTACGGGTGAAATTACCTCATCAAATTTCTGAGTTAAAAGCTATATATGAAAGAGATATGGGTCGAGCCACTTGAGTCAAACCACTCAGATCCGAGCTGATCCAAATTCGGTCAAGTCGGTCCACCTGAACCAACTTAATGAGAC